TAAAAATATAAAATAAATAAAAAAATTGTTTTTTTTTTTTTAATTTTTTTACCACATATGTATCCAATTTTTTTACCACATATGCAGCCCATGAGGGCTGCTCACAAGGGTCCCAATTTACGCCCAGCGACAATTTTCCTTGGGTGGGATGTGGGCAACCCATTTGGCCTCAAAAAGCTGCCCACCTGGGCCCTAATATGACCTGCTGCTCATGTGGGGCCCAATATGACCTGCTGGCTGGTCGTAATTTAAGCTTTATGTTATTGAAAACTTTTATATAAAATAACTTCGAAAGACTCTATTTAACTATTTTTGATTTTTTATAAACTTCTTTGAAACATTTTCTTTTTTCTCTTATTTTTAATATTTAATTTTAGCTACAACGTATTTATATTAATGTCTTAAAAATACAAGGGACTTGGTGGTAAGACAAAACTGTCTTACCACCAAGTAAAAACTTCTTCTCGTCCTTACCATTTTTATATATATTATAAAACATGGAACTTGTAAATATTAGTACGGCTAAATAAATGAGGAATAAAAAAAAAAAAAATTTCTTGTATTCTTTTTTTCAGGGTCAAATTATGTTCAAATTTTTCAAAACCACTTTTTTAAGGGTATCTTAAAATATTTATTTAGAGGAATTGAATACATTTTCTTTTGAGGAGTTTTTGTTTAGCCTGTTATTAATTGAAATCGGGATTTGTTTTAGAATTTGGGGTGGATGGTTTGAGTTAATAATAATATACAATAATTCATCGAAGGCTTATCTGAATTTTCATATCAGCCTTTCAAAAATCAAACTGTAAAACTTAATAAATGTTTCAGTATGTTTTAACATTACTTAATTTAAAGTTTACGGACGTTAGAAATTTGCATAAACGTTCGTTCACGTTTTTTTATAAAACAAAGTGCTGCGGCTCTTTCTTGCCATTAGCTCGGTTGCAATGACTGCTAAAAGTTCCGTGTTAAACACGCTCGAATTAGCACTACTACTTTTTAATTTTCTTATTTAAAAATGCGTTATGCCTGCCCGATTGTAGCAATATTCAAACTTAAAAATATATGCAATCTTTTTCAAATATATATTCAATCTATTTCAAATTTATATTCAATCTTTTTCAGTTATTCTATTCTAACTACATTCAACTGTTTTCAAATATAATCAACATTTTTCAAATATATCAATATTCCTGGGGAGAACGTGGCAAAACGGCGGTAATTTGAACGAAACATTTTGTCAACAAAACACTTTATAAATTATTATTTATAGAAAAAACGTGTATGTAGCCGTAGTTTCCTTTTTAATATATACGACATGGATAGTTATAGCAAAGTTGCTTCATTTTTAGAGGAGGCTTGTATCGTTCTTCGCACAACTCAAAACACAAATGCAAGCAGGCCACAGTCAGAACTCACAATAGCCTCCACATTACAAAGAGCCAGAGGAATGCTCAATAAAAGTGGTTCATTGTGTTTATTTAGGCGCCTTAATCGAAAAGATAGATTAAGGCCATCAACACCATACATCAAATCAATAGATTAAGGTCTGCAGCACCATATAAAATAGATAATAGTAAAATAGGCAATCAAAATAAAGCAAAAAAAAAAGACAAAAACTTTAAAACTTGCATTAATTTTATCTAAAGAAAAAGATGAAGAACAATTCCTGAAATGCGATTCTGTTATTGCATATGGAATTTTAATTATTAACGATCGTAATAGTTAACAAGTATTAAGAGAAAAAATTAAAGAGGCATTGCATGACATTTCCTTTTATTGGGTTCAGATGAGTTTGATTTTGTTAAAGTATCACGAAAAAAAAATCAAAGTTAAATAAATGCTCAGATATAGTCTTATTCTGTTGTAAAAAAAAAAGCTGGACAAGGGCTTCTATATTTGCAACTAAAAGAAGGTTACAATGATGATAGTGTTGAGCTTCCAAATTAAAACAATAAAAATAGAGGAACTTCCATCGTCTTATTGATGATATTATTGAACTAAGACCCTCGTCTTCATTTCTAGCAAACCGCAGTTAGCTGATCAAGAAAAATTAAATGAAATTTTTTTATCAGCTTTATTTATAGCAAACAGTTCACGATTAATTAGTAAAGAAGAACTTATTGATTTGAAAGCAAAAAAATTAAAGATATAAAAGAAAATTATTTTCAGGATAAAACAGAAATTTTAAGATTTCTTAAAAAAATAATATTGAAAGACAGAGTTCTAGATATTGAAACCATTGACAACACTTCTGAAAACATGTCTGAAGATTCTGAGACAAACTTTATTTGTATTGATTGACAAAATATTTTAATGTCAACATTTGCAGAACTAGAATCCATCGAGAATTTTTTAATTACATTTGAAGTTGATTCTATGGGAGAACTTGCTAAGGATTATAGGAAGAAGTGGCTACGAGAATGTAATAAAATGATTAGAGAGATTATTTGATTGTGGTTTGCAAGAACTTTTTGTTGAGGAGTATTATTTTGTAGGTTTGTTGATTGGTAAATCACTATTTCACGGAGGACAGCTACCAACATATTTTCCAGAAGGCATTATTAATAAGATTACTGAAAATACAACAAATGTTTTTGTATCTAGCATACAAAAAGGGTTAAAGAAATTTATATTGATGAGATTTTTCAAAGAATTTCTACAGTTACTTGATTTATTAAGACCATTAAAAGTACAATTCACTGTAAAAATGCTTTTGAAATTATTGAAGCCAAAGTTTTCATTTCAAGGTTCGACAGCTTTAGTTAAAGAAAAAGAAATTTATTCTAATTTTGTGAAATATGTTAGAGAGGTAAATTTATTTTAATGTAAAACTATGAACAGTTTTAATGTTTTAGATGTTACAGATATAATTTAGGTTGCTAGTAGTAGAAGAGTGTGTTTCATTGGCAAACATTCTTTCTTTTGTTACTGGTACTTCAGAAGAACCTCCACTTGGATTTGCATTGCATCCGTCTATCGAATTTATTTCTACTATTGAAGCTAATGAAAAAGTAAAAAACCTCAAATTTAATTAAATAGTTTTAGTTTATTTTATTTAATTTGGTCTATTCTATTTTGATTTGTATTCACACTAAGGTATTCATATACATTATGCAAGGTATGCAGGTTTATCTTTTAAGAAAGTTTGTGAAATAGTTTTTTGTGATTTATTCTAATTTATTTATAATTTATGATCCTTTATGATTTTCTTATAAACAGCACTTTTTTAAAAGCATCTAAAGTTGTTTCTTTTTTTAGGTATCTGAAGAATAAACTTTTACATCTGAAGCACTTTTTAGTTAAGCAAAATTATTAATTTATTTTGTATTTTATAATAATCAATCAAGTTTTTTTTTTAGTTTTTTTGAAGTTTATTGATCAATCTTTTGTAACTCAAGCTCAAAAACAAGAGTGAGTTGGTCACTCTTCTCTTGTGAGTTGGTCACTCTTTTTTTTGAGCCCGTGTTATTGCATGTATGCCCACTACATGCAACACTATTACCCAGATCAATGCTACTCCAAACTCTTTTAAAAAATGTTTTATGACTAAACTTTAGTATATTTTAAATTTGTAGTATTCAAATTATCAGTTTTTAATTTACTTTAATTAGGTTTACGCAAGTTTAATAGTATTTTGGTTTTTTTGCGACTATTTACATTTCATCAATTGTTGTAATTTATTTTTGATGCAACATTACAAGAAAAACCTAAACACCTAAACTTTTTTAGAACATTTTTTGGAATTTCATACTTTGGTCTTCCAGGGATTGTACTATGCAACACATTAATATCGATACGGCTGAATTTTGAAGAATTTTTATGATAATAAAAAGTAAGCTTTTGTCGAAGCTCCAAAAATATATCTAGTATACTTTCTATTCTTTTTTTGTCGTTTAAATCACCATTAAACTCTTCGATAAAATGGTTCATTAATGGAATAAGTTGATCGATCAAATCAATATTTTGTTTTAATATTGGCAAATAATCTTCAGAGGAGGTTTTTCCAATAAAAGCTTTAACTTCAGCAAGAAAAAATAATAAATTTTTATATATATCTGCATCCATATCTTTTTCACCAAATTCGTTTGTTATTGTTTATGTTAACTATTATCCTTTTATTTACCCGCGTAAATAGCTTTTTCCCAGGAATATTGAATATATTTAAAAAAGATTAAATATATTTGAAAAAGATTGAATATATTTTTAAGTTTGAATATTGCTACAATCGGGCAGGCATACGTTATTCAAAAGTTAATGAAAAATTAAGAAAATATTTATAAAAGAGTTCTCCAACTTTTGAAGAAAAACATTTGTCAATTATAAAAAAAAAACAATTGTCAGGTACACTTTACATATAATAAAACTAAAATAATAATCAAATAATTAAACAACATGTTTGCTTTTTTTCTATGCTATTCAAACAGTTTGCAATATTATTTTTTGTTGTCATTGTATCTGGATGATTAATACCTAAAATTTCAGTTTGTATTTTATCAACAGAATAATAAACTTCTAAAGCTTCGTTATATTTTCACCGTTTGAAAATTTTGACTTTTTTGGTTACGAAACATCCCGAAAAAATCTTCTTAGGGTATGAAACTACACATGTCAAGAATACTATATCAACTTACTTTGAAATCCAAAATTAAAATCCGAGAGAGATATTTTGATTTGAAAATATTCAATATTTTCACCAAATGGATAGAAGTTGGTTACAACCTGCCCTTAGCAAAAGGGGTCATATCAGTCCTAATACAGCCTAACTAATTTAAAAAGTAAAATTAAGATATATATGCCATTTTTGACAATAATTCATATTCACAATTTTAAAATTTTATTTGAAAATATTTAGAAAACCATCTTTCAATTTTTTGATATAATCAAAATTTCTCACTTCAAAAATTTTTCTTTTGACAAATAAATACATTCTTTACACACACACAAACTGAGTTTCTCCAAATTGAAAATGAGGAGTCTTTTATTTTCTTTCTTTCCAACTAAACTTTTTTGCTGTTGTAATCAACTACACAACTGAGGAGTTGACTGGAATAATCCGGATGAGTAGAGTTTCGCTTGAATCTTTGCCAGTGGGTCTTGAAATTTGAATGAAGAGCTTCTGTTGCTTGCTCACTGAATACACCTAGATTAACCTTGTGCTGATGAATGAATTGTTGAACGTGATGAAAAACAGCATGTGCCTTTGGTGTGACTGAGACTGGTAATTTCAAGTAGTTATCTTTGAAATCACAAATTTTTGCCTCATAATCTGGCAACAGAGTGTATCCAAAGCATGAAACCACAACCTGGTGAAATGAGCTCAATGCTTGGCATGCCTTTGTTGCATCTGGTGCTTTTTCAGCAATTGTCAATTGCATAAGCTCTTCAATTTTCCTCAGCACTTTCATGCAATCTTTTCCATTGAAGTGGCCACCATGAAATGGTTGCATCTGAATGTGGATTGAATCCAACCATTGTTTGGTCTTTGGAAAAACTTGAACCAAGTACTTGATGAGGTGGTTGACAACTCCCAGGAGCAAATGCAGTTCCATGGGTGGGATTGCCTCAAGGATCAATTCTCTGTCTGGAAAGGCAAACATTGGCAAATGAACCACATTTTCAAACTCTTTTGATCTTTTGGCATCACAACCAGACTTCACAAATTTTTTGTACAAGTCTCTGATGCCCCCGAATGTTCTAAGCTGACCACAGTTTTCCAAATGTGCTGAGCCTATGTTGCACCAACAGCAAGGATGCTTACTGCTGTGTGACTGGATTCCACAAACTATGTTTGCAAGCTTCATGTCACAAGAAATAACAAGTTTTTCTGAAATGGAGATTTCATTGATTTGGAGAAGATCCAGAATGTGCTTAACATTTGGGTAAGTCTCTGGTGTGTTCTCTGAAATGGCAACAATCAGTTGTTTTTGAACACTTGTGTTTTTGAAGTTGTCTTTGGTGATCAATTTTGATTTCTTCTGAACAGGACTGTGAGGTTCTCCTTCATGCTCACTGATAAGACTCAAACTTGACTTAAAGAATGATCCTCCACCATCAATGCCAAGCTTTAAGAAGTTTGAGTTTTGCAAGCCTCTGGATGAAACAATATTTTCTTTGAGGGTTTCCAAATTTGTGCAGTGAACAATATGGCGTGTTTCATTTGATTCTGGTAACTGTGAAGTTGTTACTGTAAAGAAACTTTTGAGGGTAGTTCCAGCTGCAGCAAATTTTTGTTGAAAATTGGCCTCAACTATGCGAACAGGACTTATTTGATTTAAAGCTGACCCAAGCTTTCTCATTCCATTGTTAGAAAGTCCAATGTTTTGCTGAATATTAATCATATCTTGTGTTGTCAATGGCTCTGAGGAGAGACCCTGAGTTGCATTTGATCCTGTGAATAAAGAAACAAATAAGAAAAAAAACAATATTAAAAAGCAAACCCAGCAACAATACTTTAACATACCTGGTCTGATTTCAAGAGGCTTTCCATGAAACCGGCTAATCAGAATAGTTCCATCGGAAGATACCTCTTTGGAAGAAACGATGAATGATGCAATTTGCTCTGCCCCTAACGGATCTGCCAATGCCAGAGCTTTCAAGTTTTCACGACGTGTTGCTTCTTTGCAGTTATGAGGCAGTCCTCGAGCAATGACAGATAGGCATTTTGTGCATCGTTTTTCAAAAGATATTTCTTCTTTTTGCACTTCTTGCTGAGATGGTTTTTCAAAGGGGTGCTTTCCTTTCCCTTTGGTTTTTGAAATTTGACAAATGATGCAATCACATTTAGTTGTCTGGCGAGTTGATGGTTTGATCAATATGGATTCGAAGTCATAAAGTTGAGGTATACTCACTTCTTCATCTCCAGAAGCTAACTTTCTAAGCAGGAACCTACAGGTGACACAGATCCCTCGTGGAACCCTCTCATCATCAAAGTTGATGTTGCCAGAAATCAATCTTTTGATTTCACTGATGAAATATTCTGAAATTTCTCTGTCACTTTTTTTCATACAAAGTGTGCAAACGACCTGCCGACATTGATTATGATCCTTTGAAAAAGTAGGCATTTCAAAATCTGAGATGAACTTGTGAACTGTTTGAAGATATCATTTAAACTAATTCATAAAGTACAAAGAGGTCATAAAACGTATGAAAATGTACTAAAAGTACAAAAAGTCCGTAAAATTGGAAATGTCCGAAGAGTACAAATTTTAGGAAAGTACAAATTTACGGCAATTCCCGTATCAAATTTTTCATCGTAATTCGCGATTCAAAAATTAATCGATTCAAAACTTGAAATGGAAATATCTCCCCTTATAGCTCATTTCTCAAAAAAATTTATTAAATACGAAATCTTTACAAATTAATTGTCTAAAAAAGTTATTTTATTAAAAAAATCACTACGACCCACCCCAATACCGCTATTTTCAAAAACAAAAACTGCTAATGTTTTTATATTATTTCAAAAATTTAAATCAAAATATCTCTCTCGGATTTTAATTTTGGATTTCAAAGTAAGTTGATATAGTATTCTTGACATGTGTAGTTTCATACCCTAAGAGGATTTTTTCGGGATGTTTCGTAACCAAAAAAGTCAAAATTTTCAAACGGTGTTTTCCCATTGCGTAAAAACAGTTTGCGATGTTATTTTTTGTTGTCATTGTATCTTGATGGTTGATACCTAAATCTTCAGTTTGTATTTTATCAACAGAGTAATGAATTTCTTAAGCTTCGTTATATTTTCCCATAGCGTACAAACAGATTGCGATATTATTTTTCGTTGACATTGTACCTGGATGGTTGATACCTAAAACTTCAGTTTTTATTTTATCAACGGAATAATAAATTTCCAAAGCTTCGTTATATTTTCCCATATCGTTCAAACAGAGTGCCATATTATGTTTTGTATCGAGCGTGAATAGATTATTTTCACCATAAGTTTCTGTATTAAAACTTTGAATACTTTTTAATATTTCGATTGCTTCTTCAAAAAGACCTTTACATACTAATAATTTTTTAATTGATGTTGTCATACTATGGAAGGTTTTCGAAATTGTTTTCCCGTTAGTACGAAATATATAGATAAAATGGAAAACAAAATGGTTTCCGTAATTCATGTGATCGTTTACTTCATTCAATTCAAATATAAAATAATTTTCGATTAAACTAAGATAGGCATTTGTTGTCGAATTTCTATTTTGAAAACATCTACACATCAGCTGTGTCAGTTCGTGCATTGAATATCTTTTATCATCAAAACAATTTAGTAAAGAATAACTCATTAGTAACCCAACGGCTTCATCTATTACATGTTCTTCGTTTATTTCCATTTGTTTTGAAATTTGGATTATAAACTGTTAGATGCTTAGCAACAGCTACTTTACAGCTTTAATAATTAGTACAGTAATTAAAAAATTTTGATATAATACATTTTTATAACTATAAAAGAAAACTTGCATTGTAAGCATTTTTAATGTAAGAAAGCACTTAACAAAAGGTTGAACTGATGCAATGACAACAGACTTGTTAAATGTTAATTTGCACTTCGTATTGTTTCTTCTTACGTAACGCAGTAAAAACTTCTAAATGTCATGATTGATATCTTATTATGTCAAATTTTACCAGGTATACCGGTATGAAATGAGCGTTTTTTGTGAAAATAAAACACTAATTATTAATGGGAAAGTATAAAACATTTTATTCAAAGTATTGGCCATTGTTTTCTACACATTTTGACCACCTTTTTGGCAATTTAAGGATACCACGCCAATAAAATTGTTCGTTTTTTAAAGCAAACCAACCAGACACCCAATTTTCAACCTCCTCGTAGGAATCAAAGTGCTGCTCAGCCAATGCGTGTCCCATCAATGAAAACATATGGTAGTCGGAAGGAGCCAAGTCTGGTGAATACGGCGGGTGGGGTAGCAGCTCCCAGCCAAGTGTTTTGATTGTATCCTGAACCGGTTTTGCTTTGTGTGCAGGTGCATTGTCATGGAGCAAAATTACCTTGCCGTGTCTTCTGGCCCATTCTGGTCGTTTCTCGATCAATGCATGGTTCAAATTGATCATTTGTTGTCGGTAGCGATCAGTATTGACGGTTTCACCAGGTTTTAGGAGCTCGTGGAACACCACACCTTTCTGGTCCCACCAAACACACAGCATTGTCTTCTTGCCGAATCGATCTGGTTTTGCAGTCGATGTTGATGGTTGTCCCGGATTAACCCATGATTTTTTCCGTTTAGGATTCTTAAAATAAATCCATTTTTCATCGCCAGTAACAATTCGATGCAAAACCGATTTTCTTTCGTGTCTTCGAAGCAAAATTTCACAAGTGTTTTTTCGGTTTTCCATCTGTCTTTCATTCAATTCATGTGGCACCCATTTTCCACACTTTTGAATCTTTCCCATAGCTTCTAAACGGTCAGAAATTGTTTGTTGTGCAACATTTAACATTTCTGCCATTTGCTTTTGACTCAAAGTGTCATCTCCATCCAATATCGTTTGCAATTCGGCGTCTTCAAACTTTTTTGGTGGTCTTCCACGTTCTTCATTTCTCACATCAAAATCATTATTTCTGAACCGTTGGAACCATCTTTTGCATGTTGCTTCTGATAGAGCATGATCACCATATGCCTCGACAAGCATTCGATGCGACTCTGCAGCACTTTTCTTCAAATGAAAACAAAAAATTAATGCTTACCGCAAATCATCACTTTCCGGTACAAAACTCGACATTTTTAACACGATGAAAAAATATGATGTTGTCTGTTCAATGACTTGATGTATACTAAATATGTTTCACAGATGTCATAGCAAACAAACAAAAAAAAAAAAAGGCTCGTTCACAACAAATGTTCCCTATCGAGACATTTGTATCTTGACGCTCACTTCATACCGGTATACCTGGTACTTTGAGTTTTTCTTTTAAAATACTCAACAAGATATTTAAATTTTTTAAATATCTTGTTGTGTGATATATTGTATTTGTTTTGAAATAGCATTCGGCAGGTAAGTTTTACATTGAAATTTTAAAATAAGTACTCATTGAGAAAAAAAGTTTTGCTAAATGAACTGTTTTGATATAATACATTTTTATAACGGAATTGTACATGAGCATTTCATAAAAACTGAAAGAAACTTTAAGATCATCTTTTTTTTCTTTAAAATACAGTTTTCTAAGAATTATAAACAAGCAAAAAAATTTTAAAAGCATTTTAATGGCCAATCAGAATTTATACGTTGTCAATGTTGTTTTTTGAGAGAGAATAATCTCCTTTCTGATTATTTGGTGTTAGTGCATTAATTCTCCAACAACGTCAAGAGATGAATATTGAAGAATAATTTCTTTAGTTAGCCACTTGAATTTGCAGTTCTTTCCAGGTGCAGCAGAATATTCCATACAAGAAACATTTCATTATCATTGACCTAATGTTTGAAGTAAAGACTAATGTCTATTCATCGCTGCCTCCTAAATATTCCTTGAAATTAATATGGTTAATTAACCAATAATTTTGTATTTTAATACAATAGATCTCAGTTCACAAAAATGAATAACAATGGAGTTTGTTGAGTTATCATATATTCAGCTGCTGTTGAACCTTCTCTGGACTCATTTTCTTCCCACGTTCTTCTCCAGCCATTTTTTGGTAATGCCAATCCTTGTGAAGTTTTCCACCATTTGTTTAATGATAGAATGGGATAATAGCAGGTGTTCAAAAGAGTTAAGGCTTGAAATAAGGTTCATTTCGTTGACATTGGAACGTCTACCATAGATGTGTTCTGCAAGTAATTCAGTATCATAAAACTATTCAGCTCAACTATTTTGTGTACAAAACTTAAGCGCGTTAACACTTCTATGAACACGTTTTTTTTGAAAACTGTGGGTGCAGTATAACTTTTGCAATTTGAACTTTAGAACTTAAAAATTTGAACCGAAAAATGGAATTTTACATTAGTATAGTTCCATTTTTTACCTTTACAAATTCGGAAGTATCTCCACATTATCATGTGATCAGAGAAAAACTGAAAAGGATGATAACTGCTGAAAGGGATGATAACTGCAGGACTAAATCTGATTCCGAAGGAATCAGATTTAGGCCAGATAAAGTAAAAGCTTTGGAGTCTAATGGAACTTCGGCGTCATCAGCATTTTGAATTACTTAGCTATTATGAAGAGCCTCATAAATATCTTCTGCAGTCAATAAATTGCTTCCAGCATCAACAAAACTCCTTATGACACATTTCGCTCCTGCTGACTCTATGTCATATTGATTACGTGACCGCATATTGTTACCTTTTAAGAAAGAACTGCTTTACTTTGCAAATTTTGTAAATGGCTATTAAGTAGATGTTGCCATGATTAGATGATGCGTTATCTGACTTAGCATAGCCACATTTTAGCAATAAACCACAAACTTTGTTGATTGCTAAAATGAGGTTAGCACAGTCAATGCATTGTTCATTGTCAGGAGCTATGATTTAAGGTTGATTCAAGTCTGGATCTATATCTGAAAGGAAAAAAGAAGTAGAGTGGCTATGCAAAATAAAATTTTTACTACACTTGAAAAGATAATTACGGGATATGTTGAACTTTTCTTTTTTTGGTATGGAAAATTGTCTGCTTTCTTTTCGCAACTTGCGTGCTTTTTCTTTTTGAAATTTTATGAAATCAAAGATTTTTATTAATTTTTCATTACTGTACTTGTTATGATTAATAATTGAAAGCAAAAGAATTTGTCCTAAAGATTCACTTTCTTGAAACATCTTAACTGGCAAAACAACGATTTCTGGAACCAGTTAAGGTGAAGCATCTTCATCCTCATTGTGGAACACTTGAGTAATCAGTGCCTCTGATTGACCATGTGCAATTACTTCAGCAAATATCTTGTCAAGCATCATTTTAAATTTTTTAAATTTCTTCTTAGCGTTCTGCTATACATCAAAGAAAAGAAATCTATTAATATAAATCTCATAAATCAAGGTTTATTTCATAATAATAATAACGTAAAATTTTATCCAAAGCAAGAATAAAATCTTTAAAATTATTTTTAAAATCACATTTTTAAAAAAGTTGTTAAACTTGTTAT